AGCATTAATTACAAGAAGATGATTCCACCTCTACATTCCATTATCGAAAATACACATATACGTGATTCTTACACACAACCTTGGGGATATACATATGCACACACAGAAATAAACAATTGTATGTCTTAGTGAAAACCACGTGTTTTATGGCTAATACCAGCAATATCCAACACTTAGCACATACCATACTCCATTTTTTAAAATACTGATGTACTTTATATTCTTCTTCACATTCTTATACAGAAGTAGTACTTCATCCACTACAGAAACATAAGCAATCACGCCATGAAATGCAGCAGCTTTTGGCAGACACACAGGAAGGTTTAATGAGAAGACTGGCCCAGGTAGCCAAAGTTACAGATGAATTAAATAGTGAGAATATTGTTACTCAAGCCGCAAATTTGACCAGGATATTGACTTAACCTGTTATCCAAACTGCCACAATGCTTTTAGCCTGGTTTAATAAATAAAAAACCAACCACGCTCTATGTCACTGTCTAAATCGTCTGTCCCCCATTCATTTCACTCCCTCCTACAATTAGCTTTTGAGTTTCTTGGCCAATTTAAACCAAATTCAACAGACATGTAGACCTCTCAGAAATACTACACTCCTACAAACTTTCTGAAATGAGACAGAAGAGAGAAGAAGAAACCCCATTTATGTCTCCACTGAGAGACTGCAATGGGCACCAGATATCAGAAAACCTGTATCAGAGAAAGACCTCGTAAATGTCTCCGTTATGTAAAACCTTCAGTCACTGCTCATTAAACACCTAAGACAATCAACTATGAGGAATAAGTCCAAGGAAATCCAACTTACTTAATTCCAAGTCACGAAAATAATTAAAAACTGTAAGAGGTCAAGACCTGGGATTTGCATATCATGTAAAAGGCATTGCTTTCCACAGGAAGGAACAAATCTCACAACGCTATTCCAGCCAGAGGATCTTCGTACACCCAACTTCTCTGTGCCTTTTGACAGAGGCTTGGTTTTGTACGATACATTATATACATTTCTTTCTTTCAACTATTCCTCCAAAACTCTTTTCCCTTAGCTCAAAACATACATTCTTGCATGAGTATTCTCAACGCTAAGTATAGTCACATGTATCACAGAATGGTCAGAGTTGGAAGGGAGCTCTAGAGACCACCCAGTCCAACCCCCTGCCAAAGCAGGGTCACCTACAGCAGTTGCACAGGATCACGTCCAGGCGGGTTTTGAGTATCTCCAGAGAAGGAGACTCCACAGCCTCTCTGGGCAGCCTGTGCCAGGGCTCGACCACCCCCGAAGTACAGAAGTTCTTCCTCACGTTCAGGTGGAACTGCCTGAGTTTCAGTTGGTGCCTGTTGCCCCTTACCCTGTTGCTGGGCACCACCAAAAAGAGTCTGGCCCCATCCCCTTGACGCCCACCCTTAAGGTATTTATAAGCATTGATGAAAGCCCCTCTCAGTCTTCTCTTCTGCAGGCTGAACAGACCCAGCTCTCTCAGCCTTTCCTCATCAGGGAGATGCTCCAGTCCCCTCATCATCTTTGTTGCCCTAACTGTATCTGTATAATTACAATCTTCATATTGTTACTAAAGCCTTACGATTATTAAAAAAAAATAAAATATAACCTGCTTTTAACCACTGAGTTTTCAACTAAGATAAAGTTGCATGTTATTGGCATGCATAAAGTGTAAAGGTTTAGAGAAGAGATTTCAAATGGTTCCCTCTAACGCTGGGCTTAATTTAGATACTTTTATTTTTAATTTAACTCCACATAGTGGTTCTTACCCTTTGGTAGTATTCTAGAACCATTTGTTCTTCATTATGTAAAGAAAAGGAGGTCTGTATCTAATGCATGAATATCACATTTGTTTAGAAGATAAACGGACATTCATCTCAGCCAAAGTGGCATCAGTTGTGACTATGCATCACAACCAAAACTTCCAGAAATCTTAACTGACTGGAAAGTTCAAGAACTGTATGGCACAAAGTTACTATAGTTCACTCATGTGGATTAGTCATTTGGATGTAGCTATGCAGGCCAGAATTCACCTCACTGAACACAGATAACATCAACTACACTTACCTAGGCCCCCTCCAGAGACAATGCAGAGAGGCAGACACTTCGACGACATGATTCATCCCCTCCTCAAGTAGGAGGAGATTTAAGATGGATATGGTGAAACCACCCATCTCTCTATAAAAGGAACTTAGTTAACTGGTGTCAATGCAGCCAATTCACGTTCCTACACTTTGGCAATATCCTGGTTTAGGAACTTATGTGCTCATTCTGTTGTGTGATTAAATACGCAGTGCGAGCACCTATTGGTGGAAAGACACCAAGTATCATCCAATAAATCATCTGATAATGAGTCAGTAACCCACTGATACCTAGTTAGTCATTTTCTTTCAGTCAGTGAAATTATCCAAGAGAAATTGTATTTGAATTCAAGGAGATTAAAAACTTGTAAAAGGAGTTCTCTATACACATAGTTGGACTCCCCATATTAATTCAAGTATGCTTCACAGAAGTTAGAACTGATTTTGGTTAACTGTTCCTCAGATGGAAGGTTATTATCACACTGTCAAACCAAAAAGAAGTGTTCAGCAGAAGCATGGATCCATTCTTGACTAAATTTAACTTTCAGTATGTGATAGATAAACTGAGAAAAATATAGAGCTACAAATATCAGTTGTTTACTACTGCAAATCAGATATTTATGTAAGTACAGTAATACGATACTGTGAAAGATTCAAAAAGTACTAAAAGTTAGCTTCTTAATATTACCCAAGTCCAAGTTTAAACTATGCAACTTAATACTGCATTTAATTTTAAAAACAAGTATAACTAAACTATCAGAATCTAAAATAATAGTTGTATATAAAAATGAACACTTAAACTTAGGTCCTAAAATAAATCACACAAGCATCAACATGATCCTTAAACGAGGACAGAATCAGCCTGAAATGCTGCACAGAAAATCAGATGGGGGAGAAGCTCAACACAGCCATGTAAAAAGTAAAGAACGAACAAAAAAATAACTCAATTATTAATATGATAGTATTTTAATACAGATATGAAAAGAATTTTTAAAAATTGTTACCTACCTTAGAGATCTGAAACAACGTGGACTTCTGAATAAACTACAATCGGTCTCTTCCCAAGAGAGAACAGTCTAACTTTTCCACTACTTTCAAATCTGAAGTGGAAGATATTTTAGGCCTGGCCAAATATAATTGGAAGAAAATTCGTTCACATGTTTGGCTGTGTTTTGCATTCCATCCTGTTGCTTTGGCATACAGATGCAGCTAATTATAATCTGTGACATAAGCGGCTAATTCTACTGCTCAAATGGTTGTGTGCTGACTCCAGCAACGAACTGCCTCACTGTAAGACATAACCAATCCATAATGCTTACTAAAATGGCCTAACCTGTCACGTAACACTGTTCTATTAAAACCTGAGAATACACAGCACTTCACAGAATCTGCATATAAAAACTATTGATCTAGTCAGTTGCTAACAGCATACAATGCAAAATTAGAAACAAAAAAGACTTTTGCTTTCTTTTCTGAATCTATATGTAATATCCAACTGAATTTTAGCAGTTGTTTTTCTGAAAACTTTTAATGCTAACATTATTCTAACTATAATCTATCTATACTAGCTGGTATATAAAGTCTCTTCAAAAAAAGAAATACATGTATTATAATATACCTATAATAGCATATTAATTTTATACAGTAACTACACCAACAATTAACAGTATTTCCAAAAAGTTAAGCCATTCTTGGTATTTAGGAAATATGCACAGAAATACCAAGAGCTATATAAAAAAAAAAAGTTGCATATATTGCATATTATAGGATGATGTTATTACGAGACATCTTTTTTTCAGTGCCATTTAAGCTTTGAGTTCTCAAATGCAGAAACAAGAATTCCAGCCCAGCACTGCTTACATTAGACTGACTATACAAACGCTAACCAACAGACTTTCTGTTCAACCTACGGTATTTTAGAATCTGTGCTGGTAGCTGTCTGCAATTTAAAAAGCATTAAAACATCCATTTGTAAGATTTACAGAATAAACATTTTGTGCTATGTGAAACATTACAATCATTATCCATATGTTTGGACAATTTCATTTCTCAAACCACAGTATTTCCTTTTTTCTAGCCATGCGCTCACACTGTTATCATGGTTTAGAAGATGAAGCTCCTGTCAGACATTTAACAGCTGCAGATCATAAATTTAGGGCTGACACAAATCAAACTGATTACAGGCTTACAAGATACTTTTTTCCCTTTATTAATTCTGTGGTCATTAATCCTTTATCAGACTCTGTTTAGATATATAAATGGGGTTGTTCTTTTCTATACAACGGAATTAGTTCACTGGTATCTGACAAAAATTACAAATACTTTTCATAATAGAATATTTGTCAGTATCTTTAAAACAGCTTTTATACTTAATCTCATGGATTTATGAAAGATAAACCAGGACAAAAGCATTTGTATACTGTTTCAACACCAAAGCTTTTCTTTAATTGAAATTCTCTGAAATTCCTATTAGAGGAAGAAACCTATAAATGCCAGATAGTTTTGAAGGGTTCGTTATTTAGTCATTATTTAGGTGACTGGGTATTCACGTCCAGGGATTTCCTGCAAAATCTTTTGTCCATTCTTGGAGAAAAGCAGAGGATCACATAAAACCAGACAGAAGACGCCAAAAAGGCAACATTTTAACTGCATTTTAGTATGTTTCCTTCTGGCATATTTGTAATTATCCGATTTCTCAATTTATAGAAGAAGATTGACTAACACAGTGCCCATCTACAGAAAGAGATTAGATTGCATCACCCAGTAGTTCTCCTTATGGCTAGAACTTTTGTGTTATTTTCCACATATGATCACTCTTCTTGGTCTAGATTCACGATGTCTTTTGTCTGCTCTTGTAGCTATCTAACGTCTGCAAAGTAGAAATTATAAAAATGAAAAGAACAAGTAAGTACCTCAGTATCTTCTGAAGTTCTCATGAAGTAGGACTGAAGCAAGAGCAACTGTCAGTGAGTTCTGTACCATCTGAAGGCAGCTATCAACCTATTTAAATGCAAAGAATGGAAAGAGACAGGAAAAATTTTCATGAGTATGGGGAAAGAACAAGATATATTCCTGTACTGCTCTCCTGACTACTTTAACTGACAACATCTTACAAGTGATGGGACAAAAGTCCACTGAGATTAAAAAACTGTGGAACACAAATGAAACACTGGACACCCAACACCTGTTTGGACTACCAATGTTCACGACAGCAGTTTACAGTAAGTAAGAAATAAGTATTAGTCAAAAGCCTATGTGAAAAATAATAAAAAAAGATTTCTGTTGCAATGCTAAAATTCCATCTAGCATTAGAATGCATTAGTATAATGAACAATGACTTCAGTTACGGAGTTTCATCGCATTTGTACAAAAATTAAGTTTTTCTCTCAGTCAAGTGATTAGCCGGTCACACTCCCTCAGAAAAAAAACAAGATACCCCAAGCCTCTTGTATTCCCAAAACTGCATTGCAAGAGATAGTTAATAATGAAGGTAACTAAGAACAGAAGTCTTCTACTACTGAACAACTGTAAGTGGCAAACAGTAAATATCGCTAAAACTAGGTTGTACGCTTGTGTAACTCCAAATGAAACAGAAGTTTTGCCATATGAAATACTGAGAGGTATCTTGATAAAGGTTCAGAAAGGCTAAGTAGTACAGCAAAAGTCATTTATGTTAACGATAAAACAGCACATACCTTGGGAAAAAAATAAATTCATATGAAAATATGTACCTATTGAACTACCAAATGGAAAAAAAAAAGTCACATACGAATATTTATCTACTAAAACTACTGAATGTAAACACCAAAACCAACCACATTCTCAAGCAATTAAAGTGGGGGATAACTTTATTAATGGTCAGAAAATACAAGAAGTAATTAGTTACTAAACATCTCTGGACTTCCAAGAACTGAGCAGAAATGTCCAAGTCTTCTCAGTTCTTGTTCTTGTGTATGTTAGTCACTTGTAAGCTTGAATAATAACAGAAAAATCACCTTTTCAAAAAAATTTTTTTTCCAGTTCTCCCGACTTCCCACTGCTGTTAGAGGTTCTAATATGATATTAAACAAGAACTGTTGTAAACCATTTTTTAGTGTTTTCCTCCAAAGCATTTTGAGTTGGCTATGTTTGAAGTGCTTTTTAAATTTGTAAGGGATAGGACAGCAGGCCATTTATTGAAGATTGAGACCTTACCCCTTCCTAAGAATAGGGCTATGATGAATATCTACAAAGGCGTGTCATCTTCTAAACCTGAGCAGAACAGTGAGCCAAAGGAGGACTTAAATCTTTCACATACAAACAGAAATATTTGAAAGTTACTGTTGTGCCTATTAAAGCTATAAATGTAATTGTTTTAAAGAGTTAATTAAACAAGGTGCAAAATAATCCAATAGGAATATAAACACAGGACCCCCAAATGTACAAGGCTTTCAGAGAAATCTGCCTAGACCATTTCGTTACATGACATTCATGAGGAGGTTCAAAACAGCTTTGAAACTCGGAGTACTTATGTTTCATTAGAGCATGAACAAGAACAAACTAAAATAGAAAAATCTGAAAATGACTATGCAAGAAAAGATAAAAATAAAAGGACTTAAAAGTATCCAACTGGCCGGCATGCCACCGCACAGCAGGTCCTCGTGTCTGGTTTCTAGGAATTTTTTCCATCTGTGAGCACAAACAGCTGGCTGTGGGACTACTGCCTGATCATCCTAGCAGTATTTCAGTCTCTGCTTCAGCTATTTCGAGTGCCTTGCTGCCACACTCCTCTATCCCTTTTTTGCCATGTTCTGTCAACCTGGACTCTCCTCCCCAGTACATTCAGTGGCTCCAGAACAGGAACCTTTTTCACCTCCTGTTCACCTGCTCTACTCACTCCCTTTTCCAATTAATTTAGGCACAAACCATCACAGAGGGCTAGTTGGAGGGGTTTGGGGGTGTGTTAAATGACATCTTCTGTTTGGATTGTATGTTCACACAATTTGATTAAAAACTAATTAATTTCTGTGGTTTTCATTCTCTATGATCCTTTAAAGAGGTTAAGTGAAAAGTTGCATGTGTACTTCATGTGACAGCGAGCCTGACAGGTGAATGTTAAGATGGGACAAACTGCTTTTCCAAGAGCAAACAAGCAAGCTCAGGTTTGTAGACCCTTTCAAAGACTGAAGTTGAGGAGGAAAAGACTAATTTGTGCCCTGTGGCTTGCATGTAGACTGGAAGACACAATGGAAAGACCTTGCTACAGTGGTATCTTGAAGGTAGAAGATGTCCCCTAACTTAATACTGGGGAGGGGAAAAAAACCAACAAAAAAACCCCACAACACACACCAAATGTTAAATGTTCCAGTAGATTTGTAATTATTTTGTCCTGTTGCACAGTTGGTACAATTCAAGCATTCTTCTAAGTATGAAATTCAGCTACTGTTGGCTTGAGGAAGTTAATTATTAACTTTTTCTCGGGAAGAAAGCCTGAAATGTGTACTTGGGTTTATATGAAACTCCACAATATTCTGGACAGGAGAACTGAATAAAGCACTTTTTAATAATTTCATTATTTTGTGCATCAGGATTTTTATTTTAGGATATGATGCACTGCACACCTACTCACAGCTATCTGCAAGCACTCTGTGACAGGTAGAAGAACATATTTATAGTTGCATTCTGGACAGTATGTCAAATCACTTCTACAACAGATCTCAACAGCACAGACAATCAATGAACAAAGCACCATGTTTCATGTTCTTTGGTCGTGCCATTTCCTTTTAAATCACTTGTCCTTTATTAAAAACAAAAGCACAAACCCCAAACCCACTAAACGTCCAGAGCAGGATACTCTATTCTTCTGCCTTGGGCTATCTGAACTCTGAAGAATTCCAGTAGAACACATGGCTCTCGCCCAGTATAGGTGGCTGTATAAAACAGAGAACTGAATGACTGCCCCTCTATGGTAGAATAGGTTTCACAGGTCTTGGAAGCTCTGCATCTGTACCCATACTCTCGCACTGAATAAAGGTTTGTACAGACACAAACCCTAAAGAATACGATGAGTCTACCACTCTCTTTTGCTTTCTTCCTATTTCTTTTACCTCCTTTCATTTTTCTTGTTTTCTTCTCTACTCACAGATATATTAGAAGTATAGCTGATCGAGATACAAAAGCCCCTCATTTTCTTTTATCATTAAATATATATTATGTTACTGAAAAATAATGTTTAATTCTGACATAATAAAGCAAGTGTATCTAATCTGCATTTGAAATGAAAGCATCTAAAAGCATCTAAAACTCTGTTTAAATTTTGTAATTCAGTGTCTACTTCATTAGTTACGATACTTTTTTCATTCAGTACCAGCATGCATCTTCCTAGAAAGAGAGGAAGCACAAGACAAAAAAAAAGAAAAAAAAAGTTAAGGTACACAATTCCTGTTCCAAAAGATTCAGAAGAGAAGTGGAAATATGAAAACTACAGCGCTCTGGCCAGGACACTAGAACAGGAACCATGGTCCCAGAGCTCATTCCCTGACAAGACTCAAAGCCCAGAAAGTGTTAGTGAATTACTATTTTGTATTTGGAGCAATTGACTATTAAACTATTTCCCTAGGATAGGCCTGCATCAGTTTAATTTTCTTAAAACTGCAGTCATCAATAATAGTGATAAAACGATAATACACTAGTTAACTATTTAAGAGAATAAGATACAATGTTAATACAGTGCTTCTTCCCTGTTGAACAACTGGAAAAAGTTACTGGGGGGTGATCATACTACAGACCAGAATGTACACTCAATGAGAGAGAAGGAGTAAGACTAGCTGTTTAGCTAGTATAAATTAAATGAATAGATTCTTAGTAATTTGTTGAGTCCTGAAGAGAACTTCTTTAATTTCTCTTCTTGTTGCACAGGTTCAGCTTTCAAAGTCTCAGAAGTACTTCCAAAAAATGAACTAAGATTTAAAATCTAACAGAAGAGAACAGAAGAAATTAAAGTTGAAAGAGGATTTAACCCAAAGGTATGTTTTCGCTAATACACAAGAGGTGGTCATTTACCTAACTAAATCTTGCTCCAAGACAAATGAGGATGTCAGTATAAATCAGTGAGTGAGTAAAACAAGCGTATACAGAATCTATATCCTAAATTTTATTTAGCAATAATCTAGAAAAAAAAGTTCTAAATATTTTCATTTTACATGATTGCTTGTGTTCATACATTCTGATTAATATTCAGTATAAAAGACAAACAGGAATAATGAAGGCTTCAGCTGTGTAAGAAAGTTGTGCCAGTTTACATGATCTATTTCTGAACAATTTGTCTTTATATTTACACATATAAAACAGAATTTTGAAATGCATCTGCTTAAAATCTTCCCTTACAGTGAGCTCCTCAAAGTAAACCAGAAATTTTTTAATCTCAATTACACTATAAAACATAACTTTTTTTTTTAATAGATAACCTGGAAGCAGCCAGGTAAGACACAATGTAAGTAGAAAAAAGGTTATAAGCAAGTCATTTCCTGCCCATTTCTCTCCTGTTCAAAGAGAATCCTTGCTTTCAGACCTGATGTCTGTACTCTCAGTAATTTTATGAGTTGCAGAAAACTCTTAAATTTCTTCCAGAATCAAGGTGGTTTCAATTTATCACCTGTGAAATCTGACTTGCAGCTCTGTAGTCTTCGCAGCAATTTCTCCTCTGGAGCTGCAGGCTCCTAGACCCTTGCTGTGTTTGTACTCCTCTGCCTTTGTATTACTTGGTAAACTTGTGTTTTCTGAAATTGACTTTTCTGGAGTATTGTTCAGTGTCCTTAAGCAACCAACAACCTTTTCTGCTTCCATGGGGTCTTACCTGATTCAGTCACTCTTATTAATGGAGCACAGCAAGTAAGAACAAAAAGTCCCCAAGTCAGACAATCTGCCATATCCACCTGCGTTTACATGAGCATCATATGCAGTAAGATGAATTAGCTAATGGACAAAAGAATACACTTTTCTTCAACAGAATACTT